TTAAATTACATGTTATCTATATGATTGCATATGTGATAAAGATTATTCCTAATTCTGTCTATATATATTAATTTTGCCGCGTTATAAACTTATTGTGAGTCTCCCAACTTTACAAAAAGCAACTAATTATTTAATTGTTGGCCAATCAATTAAATAATACAATGGGTATGCAAAATCAATCAAGAAATCAAGAAATAACTAAATTAATATTCTTGAATTAAAATAAATATGCATTATGGTTCATCATTAATCCAATACAATAGAAAAACTAGCCTAATATTCCAATGATTAAATTATACAAGAAATATTGAAAAAACATCATCCAGAAAGAAGAAACAATGAAGAAAGTGAAGAAATCCAATTTATTTGCTTGAATCTTGAAAAGGGATAAATATTTTTCAATAAACTTGCATAATCCAACTTTATCTTCACGATTGGCCTCGTTCTTCACCTCCAAAATACGTAGAATGTAAGATTTTTAGGTCAAAAGGGAGCTTTCCCTCATTCTGGGCGTGTTTAGGTATATATATGATGTCAAAATTTTGTTTTCATGTAGAATTTCATCAGAATAAGAAAACTGGCCCATCATAGAAAATTTGGCCCGTGCTTGCGCGCCATATATTTCATGGTACGCGCACCGGTCAATGATTTTGCTCTCGGTTTGGAGAAAAAGAGGTGGTGCGCGAGTGCAATTTCTTGCCACCGCGTGCACCATGTTACACTTGCATCCTTGGGCAGCTCTCGGGTAATTGATCATAACTTTCTCTTCCAAACTCATTCAAAGTGCATTGGGAAGTTGACTCAAAGACCTACAATTCTTTTCTGAAATATGAATTTTCCAATTCAAACGTTTTCCAATCCTAAAAACGGGTCTCAAATTGAGGCTGAAAATTCGTAGCACAATTTCTTTAGCTGGAAATTGATTTGTCAAAATATTTCAACTTTATTTCATTCCTTTGACCTTCAATAGCATCCAATTGATGTTATATGATCTTCAATCGTCATTTTATGGTTAGAATCAACTACTAGATGTTTACACTTTGGTCCCCAAGCTTTGGAATTCCTTTGTTTTCGCATGTTTTTGTTCTTTTCTTCCAAGCCCACAAATTGTCATTGATTTTAACCTAACAAAAATAATTAACACGAAATTAGGATATAACTCATTCAAATTACTAACAAATATCCTAATTTAATGGCCTAAATGAGTGTATAAATTACACTTATCAGTAACTTCTCATTGAGGCATTTGTAAGTCCTCATGCATCCAAATTATCTACAAAGTGTCCGTGAATACAACCAACTCATATTTTGGAAGTAGTTCATAAGCTCTTTTTCTTACATTCTTATCCATAGCTTCGCCAGCTTCTAGCATGGGATATGACTCCGTCAAAATCCACGCCTCATATAAATATTCATATTTGGACTTGTGAGATTATTGTTATGCTTTATCCTATAGGTAGGTCACGTGTCAGCCAAGAGGTCTGCTCCACTTTACATCTTCACATCTCTCTGAGGTAGTTGGGCAATTGGACAATGTAGTTAGGTATCTCTTCCTAAGTAGTTGGCCACTGTTTTCAATGTGATATCATGTCCTCCGAAGTAATGCTTTCGAGGTGATATAATCCCAAAGTGGTATTCCAAGGTGAGGTTCTACCCTTTCATGCAGTATATCTTCGAGGTGGTAGGCCTTTCCTATCAATGACATCTTTTACAAATACAACTTCAGCCAAAAGACACTTTATATATCTGAAAAATTTGGCAACCAATAGTAAACTTTTCAGATTACTTCTATGACATGGGTGGCTTATTTTGAGCTTCTATCAAGTGGCCACATGTCTATGATAGCTGGTATTGACACTTTTTGACTAGTAAGCCATCAAGCTGAAACCATATTCAAACATTCAGTGGGCACCACTTATTCACTCTTGATACAAAAGCTCACACTATGCCTCCCAAAGTTAAGGCTATCCTAGCAATGAAATAGTGAACACCATATCTTCACATTACAAATTAGACATTTTCTCTTCAAACCAAAAACTTGTATTCTAATCTATTGTGTCTCTTCCACACCATTATATACATTGTCAGAGTGAACACGATTGATTGCATCCTCCACAGAAGCTACGGTCTCAAGCAATATAACATGACTGTTCAAGTGTGCATATAACATACACGTAAACGGAAGAAAAGTTAGGATCCCTTAGCCATATGACTCCCCCAAATTTCGAGGACAACAATATACTTCATGTACTATTTAATTATCTGATTATATGACTGGAGCTAAAAGTGGCTTGTCTCTCATCAATAGTTGTCAATTGAATGTTGACACCAATAATTTGACAAATAAACTCAAATTTCTTTTAAATTATAAAAGAAATAAATTCAAAAAACTTTCGGACACAAGTGATCAATTGTTGGAGGTATAACTCAAGAAGTTTTAACAAGATACTTTTCATTATTATTAATAATATTAATCTCCCGTTCGACAACCATTATTTGAAAAATGTTTAAATCTAATATTTATTTTCAACCACATACTTAAATAATAAAATATTTCACATGTAAAATCAATATTTTTTCTTACTTTTTAATCATGCATTCTCTAAAAAATAATCATTCAAAACTTCAAATTTTTTTAATTTTTATTTTTCGAAATAATGATCATCAAATAGGGGCTTATTTTACTTCTAGCATTAAATTGTCCAAAGACGTTATTATGTGTAAGGTGATTGAAACAAACTTGTCTTATAATCTACTATAATGTAAGTTAATATTATCACAAATCCCTAATGTTTTTACATCTCTCTCCAAACTGCACAATTGAGAGCAAAGAGTAGCGAAGAAACCAATCCAATGTGCATCGCACCAATTTACGCACCTTCCGTACGACTACCTTTTTACGATTTCACTCCAGACACTAGCCCTACCTTCTGCATCCCCCTCCTTGTGGTAAAGATAACGACTCCTATCTTTCTCTCCATCTTGACGTTCATCGGGGCCTATGTATCCTGCGCCCCAATTGCCAAAAAACACGTATTATGTATATTATCAGAGTGTACATGATTGATTGCATCCCTCCAGAAGAGCTATGGTCTCAAGCAATATAACGTGATTGTTCAACTGTTCATATAACATATATTTGGACAAGAGAGAAGTTGGGATCCCTTAGCAATACGACACCTCCAATTTAAAGGACACCAAGATACTTCATGTACAAATTTAATTATATGATTATATGACTAGAGCTAAAAGTCGCGTACCTATCATCAATAGTCATCAATTGAATGTTGACACCAATAATTGTATAAATAAACTCAAAATTCTATTAATTATAAAAGAAATAAATTAAAAAAACTTTTTGGCATGATTGACCAATTGTTGGAGGTATAACTTAAGAAGTTGTAACAAGATACTTTTCATTATTATTAATAATATTAAGCTCTGCTTGACAATTATTACTTCAAAACTCTTTGAGCCCTTAAAAAAATGCATTCTTAAATAGTGTTTAGACTCTATTTCAATTTTCAACTATATATTTTTCAATAAAATAATATTACGTAAATTTAAAAATTGTCCTTATTTTTTAACTTCATATTTTTCATCAATACACTATTTAAAAATGCATTTTCCTTTTGACAATAATGGAGCTCAAACAAAGTGTAAATCTAGTACTTATTTTCAACCATTATTTAAATAATAAAATATTTAGCACGTAAATTCAAAAATATTTCTTACTTTTAATCACGTTTTCTATATATAATATCATTCAAAACTTCATTTTCTTGAAATAATCTATAATTATATTAAAATATCACATCATTGGAGAATCATTTTTTGGACGATTTCAACACCCTACAATTCAATTATTTCAATAATTCCATATTTTTCGTTTTTCGATATGTAATAAATACTACATAAAAATTGTAATTTATGAAATTTATGCTATTAATTCTCAATTGATTAACATTTATATTAACTTAGATTCAATGAATTTTCACTTGATAAATCTTGAATTACATAAATCTAGAGTTATTATAAATGAACTTATTCGTATTCATGTATCTAGAAATTTTAATAGGTATTTAAATTTATGTATTGATAATTAATTTTTATGTATTCTTTAATTCGTTCGAGACTCATCAAATCGTTCAACAAATTGATATAAAATATTAATTTTACATCACTTATAATATTTTTTAGAATACACGTTCAACTTTGACTAGTGATTATCAATTAGGGCTCATTTTACTTCTAGCATTAAATTGTCCAAAAATCTTGTTATAAATGCACAACATTGTTGACAATCCTCTTACATTTGGGGGTCGAGCTTGCGATTAAATTAATCATCAACCCCACGTTATGTGAGAGGACAATCAAACTAAAGTACATAACTTAGGGCGTATTTGATAGGAGTAGAATTCCATGGAAAATGGAAATGGAATTCTAACTTTCCAATTTTTGGGTGTTTGATTGGCAAAAATTTTCAAGGAATTCATTTTCCATATTTTGGTGCCACATGCACTTTTTCCTTCTTTTGGAGGAGAAAGGTTTTGGTGAGAATTTAATTTCCGATTTACTATAGCAAATTTTTTTCGTTTTTTTTGTTGGCAATGAAAACAAATTTTAAGATTATTGTAAAAAGTTATTTCCTTTCAATTGACAATTTTCATGTAAAATAAAGCCAAACAAACACTAAAAGATAGATAATTTTCTTTATTTTTTTGACAATGAAAATAAATTTCATCCCTAATACTAGTAAAATTTATCATTTTAATTGACAATTTCATGTAAAATAAAATCAAACGAACAGCAACAAAAAAACTTTTATTTCAACATTTTTTACGTAAAAAATTATACTATATCAATCAAACACAATAATTTACAATTTAAAAAAAAACAATTTCTAGACAAATTAATTTCCTAAAATTTGTTTTCAATTCAATTTCATCTACAATAAAAGGGAAACTGAGTGAAATGAAATTGCCTCGTAATCTATTATAATGTACGTTAATATTATTACAAATCCATTGTTTTTACCTCTCCAGATCGCACAACTGTACTGAGAGCAGAGAGCAGAGAGTAGAGAGTGAAGAAAACAACCCGACGCGAATGCGCATCGCACCGATTCACACGTAGAGTCTCTCCCTCTCCATTTTGACGTGCGGCGGGGCCTGCGTATCCTGCGCCCCAATTGCCCAATGAGTAGATCGTCAGCTGCGCTAATTTTACTTATTGTAGCTCTGGTTGCTTTGCCGGCATCGCTAGCTGATGCTTGATGATCAAGCCGCCGGCAATGTCACCGGTGGCAATAGGACTGCGGGGAAGGAGGACACCTTTGCTGACATGATCGATCGAGCACTGGAGAAAGAGTTCACTGAGAGTGAGGATCAGAATGAAGGTTTTTTAGATCTCGTCTTGTTTTTGCTTTGTCCTATTGAATTTTAATTTCGTATTAAAATGTGTCTAGGTTAGGTTTTCAATTAAGCTCCATTGGTTTTATAAGAAATTTGAAGCGAGTTATGAAACTGTTTTATTTTTTTATTTTCTGGTCTTCTTTTGGAATTATATTGTGGTTTGGTTTTGGTACTTGAGAGGTGAACGGCAGTCTTAAGTTTACTAAACGAGTGGTCTTGTCAATTTATAATTGTAGTGGAATTGAAGTTCAACTGAACATTTTGATAAATTGAGACATTAATTTAGGTATTGCATTCTCGGTCTTCGAAGGACTGCAGGACAGATTGTTGTTTATTCAATTAAGCTACTTGTACATTCATGATTGACATCTTGGATGAGATCACCCTGTGTGTAAGAAACCTGACCATTGATTGGAAAGAATGTTATTAAGATCAATGCACAAAACCTGCTAATTCACACAATGTCATCCATGATGTCAAATTTGATGTACACAAGCAAAAGTGTTATTTATTATAATTGGTTTTTTATTTAATTAATGAAATTCATTTTGACTCTTATATGGAGAAAATGCTTGTTTGTTTATGGTTTTTCCCTAAATTATGTACTTGAACTATAATGGCAGCAAATGATGCTGGTAGCTTCAACAACAGTGTGGCAAAGCAGCAGGTTTGTGTCATTGCACCAATTCAACTGTTCAGGCAGTGTTTCTTCTGTCATCGTTGTCGAGATTGCTTTCTATATTAAAGGGAGATAGTAGACTTTAATTGTGAGCTTTAGACAGTGCCATGGTGGCAAATTGCATTTTTTTGGTTAGTATGCATGTTTGGGAGAGCTTAAAAGCTCCTTATAAGGTCTCTTAAACATGCACAAAGTATTAATAATCTCTAGCCTTCAAATCACTTCACTATCACTACTATCGTAAAAGAGTGGATGAGGGTTACTATTCATTTGTGTATCCTCGTTTTCACACCTATCAAGTTTCTTACTGTTCATTATGCAGTTCACCTATTACTTTCACTTTCCCCTTTTCTTTCCGTTCAAGAGCAGAGCTTCAAAACATGACCTTTTTCCAATGCTTGTATTCCTTATCGTATTTCTTCGTATCTCACGATTCAGTTGTTTGTAAATATAGGAAAAATCTATCTCTGTTTTTCTCTGTTCTCCATCTTAGTCGAAGATTTAACCTTCAAAACTTATTTTCTTTCTATGCACAAACTTAACAGCGTTATTTATTTTCCTGATTAGACTATCTAGGGATTCGATTGGTGATCGATTTCTTTTCGACAGGTTCAGTTGAAGATTTAGCCTTTCAAACTTATTTTTCTGCTGTGGACAAACTAATCTGTATGATTTCTTTTACAGAATAGAGTCCAGGATCTAGGGTTTTAATTTTTTGGGGCCGATCTTTTGCGACAGGCGAGTTCTTTTTTTACCTGGTTTTTGTTTGTATTATGTTATTTTATGTTTGTGCAGAATCTAGTATCTTTTATTTTACGTCTGGATTTCAGTGAGAGATTTATGTTTTAGCATTTTCTGATGGTCGATTCTTTAGTAAGGTGAGTCTTAAAATGAAGAACACCTTATATAACGTATGATGTTAGTATTTTTTTTGTTTCTATGAGTTTAAACTTTTTCACGATAGGTATTCGGTGAACAATCTGTTGATGGTCAATCACAGTCCGATGGGGGTGTGAATGAGGAAGATGATTCTGCTTTCAAGCAAACAACAAGTACTCTTACCTCTGAACGCAGGTACCTTTACAACATGCAAAAAAGAAAACCCACCCTGCTTATATTTCAACATGTAAATCTATGAATGATGTAATGAGATAAGTATAAATTTTAGGAAGGCAAATCCCAAGTTTGTCTATGAAGAGAGGATCTAATTGTATTAGTGTCTATATTTGGTAAGTGCTACAAGATCTTGTGCTTTGGACCGCACAGTTATGAACCAGAATCAAATACTATTTTTATCCTTTTCTTAAAATGCTATTGATGTTATTATTCTATGTGAATTATTGTCGTTTATTGTCCCACTTTTTAGTTGGTTGAAAATGGAACATGGACATTTACATCAATTGATTGGGTAAAATCGTGATGATGTATTTAATTTCTTTCTTATTTTCTTTAATTATGAAATAATACTAATGATAATTTCCTGTCTAGATGAGATAGAAATCATGGAGTTGATGATCAGAATCAATTTGCACAAACTATACATCCAAGGATCGAACGCCTTATGCCCCTAATATAATAACTGGTATTAGTGAAGTGTGTTTTGAAATTGAAACACTTCCATTTTTTATTTTGAGACTCATTTTCACTTATGCACTTGAAATCCTTACGATCCATATTATGGTGAATGGCTGCAGCTTATGGCCTACCTTTGGCATGTTAATGACAGGTATATCATCTTCTTGAATTCACTACGTGTTTCATATTTTCTTTTTCTTCATTATGAAATTGTACCATATTTTATTTAACTATTCAGTCTGGTATCTCATATTTTTATTTAACTATATTTTTCTTTCTTGTCAAATCGTGCATTTGCCATGAAGTAAACTGAGTACTGCCTATTTAAAGAAAGTAATTTATGCAACTGGAGTTGCTTACTAACAGTATTACACTTGTTTCTACTGTGTTTTATAACTCACATTGACTTTCTTGTAGGGGTTCATATGAGCTCTTGCACTTGGGAGCTGCAACATTTTCTCCTGAAGATTTGGTGCCTTCTGATAATGATTTAATTGATCAGATTCTCGAGGTTCTAAACTATTTTAGGTAATCTTATACTTCACAAATTCTTGATGCCATGTTTTTATTGCTTGGGTTCTATCTAATTTCATTAATGTCAAAATGTGAAACTTGCTAAATTGGAAGCTAAGATGGTGATTTGGGAGCCCGAGCACAAGGATATGAGAAATTGCATAGTTATATTTGATATGATGGACAATGGAAGTACATTTAAAGCAAGTTAATCTATTAAAATTTAGGTCAAATGCATTAAACATCTAAACCAAAGAAATTTCTTCCAGGCAATGAGATTACATATCGATAGAGAAATACTTCAACAACTTATTTACTGTGAGGTAAAAAAGATGGCATATGAATTGATAAAGGTGTTATAATCCCTAATTTTAATTAGAAGAATAGAAGAGCAAGAAGATTGTTTAAATTATATAGGCATTCATGAATCATAATATGAACTTGTGGAAGATGTTTATTGTAATACCACAATATTCAAATCCTTAAAATATGGTACTCTGTGTTTAAAACAAAAAGTGCGACACTTACCTTGTTTACCTGGTTTGATGTGAATGCAGAGTATTTATTTTCGTTTTAATATATCTCTTGTTAGAATTAAAGGTGGATTAAAATGCAAACCTCTCAGCGATATATTGTTTATTTATTTTATTATAGATCTCTTGTTATTAAATTACCTCTTTTGCAGCTATGAATGGAAAACTGCCAAATGACATCTCAGATAGACATGTATTGTTATTAGATCCTATCTTGGGCATAGGTTAGCTATATGTTTCTCGGAAAAAAATCTTGTCTTATAAAGTGTTAAATATGTCAGTAAAAATTTATGCTGTGAAAGACCTAATAGAATACACATGTTAGCTGGTGTTTTGCTAATTGTTTTAATATTTCACGGTCTGATTGTAAATTCGACTTCAGGGACTGTCCAAACCAGTTCTTTACTTATAAAGAAGGGAGTACCTAACTCAAATATCATATTCATTAATCTCATTTTTGTTAGTTTATTACCTCTTTGTGGTTTCTACTTTCTTCTATAACATGTGCTCATTTCAACCATAAAATTACTTCTTAGATGTTAATAATCATATTATTCAAGTGCCCGAACGAGTACATGTAGTCTGCAAGCATTTTCCCTAAATAAATATTTATGATATCTGAAATCAAAATTGGTTTGAATGAAGATTACTGTGTTATACCCGACCTTAACAAGTTCAGTGATAGATTCTTTGGCATCGATAATGAATGAAACTTAATTAAATATAAATATGCTGCATTTCATTTTTTGAAACAAATTTTACTATACAGGATCAAAGAACATGTTTTTTTGAGTAGGTAATACTTTTTTTATGAGTTTTTTGTTTTTTAGTTTTCTCCTATTTTGTTCCATCATGCGCATGCATTTCCGTTATGTAATTGGAGGCTGCAATGTGTTACTTTTTGAGTTAGTTTTGCAATTACTTTATACCCTCTTCATCTGTTTTATCACTTTATATTGATACTTATCATATTTAATAATTAAATATGGTTGATGGTTGATGGACGTCATGCAGTCAAAAATAAATTTTATAAATCGCTATCTTGTTATTTCTTTATAGATGGATGTCTTATTGCCAATTTGCATGCTGAATCATGTAGACCGCTCTTGTTGGCCCAAAGGTAAAACCCTAACCTTCTAATTCTTCAAATCTCCAATTCTTAATGTTCATTATCTGGTTTTCAACTATTCATAAGCGAATGTTCTTTTGCCCAATGAATCGTAAGTATCAAAATGGTCAAAGGTTGAACCGAGCTACGGAAAAAAGTTTACTGAAAGCAACAGGCAAAGATAAGAACATTACTTTTATGAAGGGAGTAAAGATTGGTATGAAAAAGACTCTGATTTTCCACATTGGTCCTTGCTACAAATAAGTCACCCGATGGCACTCATCGTGGTCAGGTTGGGACTTCTCCTAGTGCATTTCTTTTCTGTTTGGATATTAGCAATGACATTTTCATGTTATCTTGGTTTGTGGTTGTTAAGATTCTTAGCTTGTAGAATGTTTGATTGATATGTTAATTTTTGCATCAAATAGTACGATGAACTGTAGTTTGCTTTTAGTGAATTTAATGTGATCATTTATTTAAATTTGGCATTGTACTCTATTTAGTTAAATAAGATAATGGGATATCAGCATTATGTATGTATGGTATGTCTTTTGTTTATCTTCTTGGTGTAAATGATTATGTATGCTTTTACCAGGATTCCTTTGTACTCTGCCGCCTTTTTAAAAAGACTGATATCAAACAAGAAGAAAACGCTGGAATTTCCAACGTTAATGAAGTTGAAGAGATTATATCATCTCCTACTCCTATGATAGCCAAAACTCCTGCTGAAGATGGATAATTGGAATCAATTATTAAAATGATTTAGCTATGGTTCTAACATCAATTAAAGGTTAAACGACACACCCTTTTTTTCCCTTCAGCCTCACCTAGAGCTGGAAAAAGCACTAGGTAGTTTGTGCTCTCCAATGCTAGAGTCATTGGATTAAAAAAAAAAATTTCCCCTTTGCATTCATAGATAGAAACTAGCTTTGGAACCTTCATCAATAACATCAATTGCAATGATAGAGCTAACCCATTTCAATATGGAACAAATGTTGTTGATGTTAATGACTTCTTCAACTCGATATTTGTCAATTTAGACGAGCATCCCTATGAGGATTCGGGCATAGATGCAATGTATATAAAAGAGGCTAACGTGCCCTCGTGGTACTATAGAAGTCTATTCAGATCTCAAGATCCAAACAAGCCATGGCCTACTATTCTTTGCTACATGGTGGACCTATAAGTCTGATAGTTTGTATTTATTAACTTTTATTTCATGTTAAAGTTCACTCGTGCAAATTTACAAATTTGAAGAGGGTTGAAGCAAGTGAGACATTCTGAGATGTACTTAATGGAATACATGGATGTGCTCCACATAGTTTCCCAACTCATCATTAAAGATGTCAGTTGATATTAGATACATGTTCTCAAGAATTCTTATGTTCTCCTTTTCATTTTCTTTTTGACGGAATATTCAATAGTTACTTGCTGTGATTATCTAATTTTATGCTGAATCATCTTGCAATTTGCGGGAAAGATCTCAAGTTGAAAACTAACTAGATACATAGTGGAAGAAGTTCTAGAGGAAGCTGAGAGACTACGATCGTTGAAGTAACTGTTGAATAGAATCAAGTGTGTCTATACATACTCACTACTGGGCACTATGTCTACTTTGAGGAGTTGTGACAATGTTGTGTTTCAAAAGAGAAGCTTCTGATAAGTAAGTTATTTCTATGTAGGTTTCCTTCTTTGCTTGTGAAAATTTCACTTATGAGGTTGATATAACGAAGTATTTTCCATTAGAAGAGTATTCTGCTGAATGTTAAATAGTAGCGTGCAAATTTCGAAAAAGATGATTACACAATTCCCACCTTGTCTTAAAAGCTTAAAAGAAGGGCTTGCCATGAATGTTTGGGCTTCAAGCACTTTTGTGGTTTAACTAATTGATCTTATTGTCTATTTCGGAATGCTGTTCACTTCAGAATACCATTATACAATTTACGCTGTTATTTTTTATGCTATTGCCTTATAGCAATAACTGAAAACTATCTCATCCTTCTAGAGACGTCTTATTTTTGAAGAGCAAGAACTTCTTTGTTTGAAATAAAATTTCTAATACACTTCCATAACACCGTCACAAGGCTTCGATGTGTTTTGACAAGATAATTGTTGTTTCTAGATATTGGCAATGCGTCATCCCAGGAGACTCATGTTGTCAGGTTGCCTTGAGGCTTTAATAGTAAGATGTGTGTTTTTCATTTTTTAGTTATTCTGGTTACTATCCAATTTCTAATATCTTGAAACGTTCAAATAACTGAAATATGTTCTTATTTATATAGATCATGACTATCTTATCTGTTCTTGTTGGCTGGCAGCTCCAAATATGGTAAGAGTGATTTACAAGTTTTTATATTCCTAGGGACTTGATGCTGTAAAGATATTAGATACATTTGCTCACTTTAATCCAGATGTCATGCGACCTGATATTTGACAAACTTTAACTGTTTAAATATTTTTTCATGTAAGGTGCAATAAAAATGCTCTTGATAATAGTGTTAAAAAGGATTTCCCTATGTCTCCTCTTTTGTCACTTTAAGCCATGTATTTGCTTTTGAGTGGCCTACTAAATCCATTTATTAAATTGTTAATTTTTGTTTTTCCAATTCATCCTATGCTTCCATTACGCCAGTAGTTCTCAAGTCATTATACATGCTGGTGCTATTTGAAAGTCTAGCCAAGCTTTTTTGTACTGCGCACATTGTCAAATGTGGTTGCTTTTTAGGCTTGGACAAAGAACAACTAGATAGTAGGCAAAATATTTATTTATATCTATATTTCTTTAGGGCACAAAATCTTTATTCTTCTTTGAATGATAGCTATTGTCAGTTGTCATATTTTTATGATTTGCTCACTGGTGCACTGCAATTGTAAATTATGTAGTCCTGTAAGTGGACTCATCTTGATACTCCTCAAATAGCTATTCTTTTTTAAATGTGTTCTTGATGGAGAGAACTAATGCAAGGAAGAAGAAGCCTCTTATAAATTTGGAGACTCGGATGCAAATTACTCTAGGTTCTGCAAATGGATTGACATATCTGCATGACACAAGTGAGTTTTTCCAAATTTGAAGCCAATGTATGAGTTTATGTATTAGATTTCTTCGAAAATAAAGAAGTTACCTCTTAAATTTATTCTTTTTGCCATTTACATATCCTTCTGATAATACTATACTATAAAACATTGCACTCTATCAAAGGAATTTATTTGTTAGTACAAGAATTATGTAATATTTCCTAATGAGAAGCACTCTTTCTTAAGCACATACCTTATTCCCAATCTATTGAGTTCGACTCATAAATCTTTTTCCCCCACTACGTTTTTCTATCTTTCATCAAAAGTACCAATAAATCAAACTATGTGCAACCACATTAACTCTTATAAATTCCTTTTCCTCTTCCGTTTCCTCCTCCTTTTTGTATTATATCACTATTATGTAAATGCAAAACATGGCTTAGATGAATGCATTTAATATCATATGCCTGACACATTTTCATTTATTTTTAGGTGTCATTCTGGTTATATGATATTAGTCAATCCATAAAATCTAAATATGCCATGCCTCTATTCAAGGTAGGAAAGACAAATTGCTCCATTTCCCCCCTTTTTTAACCTTTTGGGGCTGTATAAGAAAAAAAAATTGTTAGGTTTTGTTTCTTTGCTTCATTCTAAGAAGTAGAATATGAGAAACAACTCAAATGAACACAACACTTTTCTAATTGTAGACAAGATAAAATGTTTAGGATTTTGATACCTTCATTGAAGAAAGTGGAGCAAAAATGGTTGCAAAGATTTTACATTCTTTCGCCAGAGATAATTCAGAATCGCAAAAGTAAATAGGATATATGACGGGCATCTTTGGATTGTTCAATCGCGAGTCTATTCTTATTGGGAGGCGTATCGTTGGCCAGAACTTAAAGAGGCTGCTGATAGGCCCAGTTAAATGTACTTATTCTAGAAGGGTCAAAAAGATTGGAGAAGGGCAGGGGCTGCAACAAATAACTGTGAAAATGTAGTTTGGTGATTTACTTCAAAACTAAATTCAGTTTATGTTTCATTTATTAAAAGGAATAAGAGTGGTGAATTTGAGCTTTTCACTTGTTAATATTTACTTTAGTTCTTCCATCTTGCAAATTGAAGTGTTGTGTATTGGATGAATGGTGAATTTGATACTTGAATAAATCTATTTTACAGGCACGTTAACGTTACCTTAAAATTAACTAATGCACGGGCAAAAACTAGTCCTTTAGAAAAATGTATCAGGAATGCAAAAAAGAAGGTAAATCAATCTGGATAAACCATAGTAAATAATTAATGCATAAAATGAGCAATCTCTTTTTGGGATAAAGGTTCATATACTATCATGGTTTTGACAAAAGAATTTGCAATACAAAAAGCAGCTGAAATGCACTATCAACGTACACTTGTCCCTCCAGACAAAGTTGATGTTCCTTTTTCTTCTCAGAGAATTTTCAGCTCCTAATGCATACATAAACTTCTGTTCACCCTGCCCTAGCTTACCTGTCAGGCATAAATTGTTTGTGGATTTTTGTTTGAACAATGAAAGTTTAAGACTAGTCTCAAAGGATAAATAAACATTCGTCAAGAGAGCTAAATTCTAGTGTTTTTAACCATTAGGTCCCTAAAACCTCAATGATTGCGTCATTTTTCATCAGTATCAAGTCCCATCTTTGAATTGTGACTGTTAATACTAGTGCTAGGAAAACTAAAATATGAGGACTTGATGATGATGAAGCATGATGTAAGCATTGATGTTTTAGGGACTTGATAGTTAAGAGCACTAGAAGTTAGATCTCTTGATGCATGTCTGTTTATCCTTTAAGATAGTAAAATTGACATATATTTTACTTAAAGCTAAAGATGATGAATCTATTTACTAGGATTCACATGCACGTGTAGCTTGAAAGAAACTTAGAAAATAAGTCTCATGTAAAATTAGCTAAGTGCTTGTTTGGGATTCAATATGGATTGTTGGAGCCCCAGTTTTTGGGAGAATAGATTTTGAAATAGTAATTTTTCTGGAGAATATGGGTTTAAAAATTAGGAAAAGCTTTGGATTTTTGTAAAGTTATTTTATTGAGAGAATATGTGATTGAAAAATGAGTTTTTAAAGAACGGGGCTCAAACAGGGCCATAAGTAAATGAAATTATAATGTGATAGAAACGACTTGTGCGTAATAGCAGTCGGAAAATGAAAGGTGTGACTAAAATTACAGTTTAACTTTGACCTTTAAACTATAAGGAGCTTATAATGAAACATAAACAAGAGCCAAAGTTGATGGATAGTGCTAACTTCTAATGCTATGCCCTGTTAAATCAGTGTGGTGAACTTCTGAATCCTAATACAAATATAAACTGTAATCCAAGAAGACACATGACATTAAATTGGACAGGACACCTAAGAATAATCCTTGGGTCTGCGTTATTGATCGCATGCTCAGGTGGAGGATTAATGCTCACACCCTGGTAACTCATTTAAGACATGGTTGAGTTCAGTTGATTAAATTTTCTTTGTCAGAAACGCTCAACTTGCAATGTGTGTTGCTTCTTTTCTCCTCTTAAATTTAAATAGTAAATTTTGCTGGATTTATCTGGTTATATTTTTCCTCCATCAGGCAGTTTTGGAAACTGTAGCTGGGGTCAAGCCAAAGAAAAATGAGACCAAAACAAGTGAGGAAAAGCAAGTGTTTTGCTCAAATTCAGAGAATGTTATCACTGACAATCTGACATCCCACTTGCACACAGTTTTTTTTCACTGATTATTGTTTACTATTTTGCTATAATTTTAGATCCTTTAAACTTCATCACGTTTTCAAACTGGACAATGACAATGGAGCAGAAGAGACCCCAACTTTGATTGATAGAAAGGTGAAAATGGAACTAAGAAGCGTTCATCTTGGTCCCTGTGAGGTATGCATCTAGCATGTTTGGGTTGGCTTTTAAGCTAATAAGTAAATTAAGCAGGCTTATAAATTGATCCAAACATACTCTTAAGTAAAAGCATAAGCTTTGTGGCCCTTAATGTCTTTCCCTGCTGCACACCTTAAGACACAAGTCTTGGGCGCTTTTGAAAACTACGCTTTTGAAAACTATGGGTGACCTTCGTAAGTTCTTTGCTGCAAACTGGAGTATGTAACTTCACTTGCTTATTTGTAGTGGTGTGGCGGCAGGACTTCAGAGGGGGTATTTGTTGGTGCATTTCTCTCCATGTCATCTACAGCAGTGGTAAGATCTGTGCATTAGCTTCTTTGTTTAATATGCTACCAGCACAGTATTCCTGAAATTTTTCTCTAATGGTCAAATTTTGAATATAGGTATACGAGTTTTTGATGGAGAAAAACGGTACTAATGCCCTTCATGGCCAAGTTACCATTGGCACTCTCATTTTGCAGGTATCCTTATCATCTGATTAATCTCTTATATCACGCTTTTCTTGTCACTGTTTTTTCAAGAGGGAGTGTGTTTCCTCGCTTGAACAGGATGTCACCTTGCAATGTGTATCTAATAGCTCTTATTCGCAATTTTTACTTTGCCTTTTTATCCTCAAAAAGTACTTCATCCTTCAAATAAGAGATAATGTCTTGCATCCATAAAGTTCTGTCTTGTATCCACAAGACTTCCACTCTTGTTTGGCTAAATGATGGTTTTGGCAGCAATTTCACTAAAACTATTTTAAACAACCCCGCATCTTTTGAACTTGATAGCTTTGATAAGGCTTCTCCATGCTTAGTTTCTTTTCTAGAAATTTGGATAAATTCAAATGGTCAAATTCCGCGACTTCTGTGAGATATGAAACTATTGTTTTATCTTTGGTTACGAATGCACCGTTTATTTGGTTGACTACTAACTGCGAGTTGCTTTTTATCTCAGCCCTTGTTTGGCTCCATTAAATTTCATTAAATTAAATTAAATTTTTCCCTCTTATTTTCAACCACAAAATATTCTATAAATAATATTCTATGTAAATCGAAAACTTTTCCTTCTTTTTCAACCACCAATTTTTCAAAAAAAAAAAAAAATTCTTTTCCATCCATTAAAAAAAATCAATGCCAAATGGGGGCGCAATGTTTCATGTTTGCATTTTTTTTTGGGCAATGAAGGCCTACTAATAATGTCTCATACGCAGCCACATTATTGGTTGATTTAAACGCGAACCTTATTGTGCAATTTAATTTGTGCCCTTTTGGGCTTGTTAATAATATGCCTACCCTCGAGCCAATATCTCCTGATGATCCATCCCCAACAAATTCTACACTCTATATTCAGGCTCTACTTCATGAATGGGGACATCTGATAGTCCTACGATAAAATTAACTAATGCATGTACTATAATCGCGAACCATTCCTTTTAGCTTATCTTAAATTATCCCAGTTCTACTGTCCATTTCATTAACTTTCCAAATGTATAAGTCTTTTGCAATACTTGCTTGAGTGAGAAATTTGTTAATACTTTGATACAATGACTCTAGATATTGGATGGTTTTCACAATACTGAAACAAGGGTAAGAGTCAACTTTTTCATATTCGGATACCTTGCCTATACTCCTTGCAGTGCTTTGCTTACATAGTATACAGAAAATTGTTGTAGCACATCCTTCGTCACTAATACAGAGATGACCATCACTTTGGATATTGCTAAACATAGCAATAGCTTTTTTCCATTTTCAAGTTTTGCAGATAGGGGATCTTTTCCTATGTGATCTTTCAAGGCTTGGAATGTTTGCTCTCACTCACAGCTCTATTCGAATTTCTTTCGTCCTTTTAGCACTTGGAAACAAACCTACTCAGGACAGTGACCTTCAATATTAGGCTTTGTACTTCTTTTGATTTAGATGGGGACCACATTTTTATAAGGGCTTGAATTTTCCAAAATTTACTCCAAACGCACATTTTGAGCAGATTGAGTTTCATCCTATATTTTCACAACATATTGAAAGTCTCTTTTAGTTGTTTTAAGTGGTCTCTAACTTGAAGGCTTTTTACAAGCATGTCATCAATGTAAACTTCCATTATTTTCTCGATTTGATCTGCGAACATTCTATTCACTCGCCTTTGATATGTTATCCCTGTATTTTTTAACCTGAACAACATTACTTTGTGACAATAGTTCTCGATCTTTCACGAATGCGATATGATCCTCGTCAGGCTCATACATGGTGGTTTGATTATACCCGAAATATGCATCCATGAAAGTAACAGTTGATGTCCAGCTGTAGCATCCACTAGCTAATCAATTCTGGGGATTAGGAAGCTATCTTTCAAATAGGCTTTGTTTAAGTTCGTAAACTCTTGGTAGATTTGCTACTTTTTATTGCTCTTAGGTACTAGAATCAAATTGCATACCCATACTAGGTAGCGAGCTTCATGGATGAAGCCATTTTTAATAGCTTACCCACTTCGCTTTTTAGTGCCTTGTACTTTTCAACACTCATTGGCTGGTAACTTTGTATTTTGGGTTTGATCTTAGGATCGAGTTTCAAGACGTGACAAACAATTTCAGGGTCGATCCCTATCATGTATATATATTTCCTAGCAAACACATTTACGTTTACGGATATGAAGTTTTTTAGAAAGCCCTTCATAGATTCGCTCAACTCCTTGCCCATTTTAAGATCTATACTCATCTGCTAAGCTGACTAAAAACTATAGAGCTATTCGATCGCTACCACTTCCGATGTGCACTCAATTATACAAGGTTGATAGAGATGTGCACTCAATTATATAGGGTCGATAGAGTCGTCAATTTCTAGTTTATACCCGAGGTTAATCGTTTCAACTATAGCAACAATATTAATAAAGCTCTAGGGCCTCCTTTTCGGTTGCTTTTATAGTTCTTGTGCAGGATTACTTGATTGCACTTTAAAGACATTTCCCCTTTATTGGTAGAATATCTAACATGCAAATGACGAAGAAAAATGATTATATTCACTTGCTTAGGACAGGTAGTCCAAGGACTCTGTCGTATGCGGATTCTCTCCATGGTGATGTCAAAATTCATGTATCCTTGGCATGCATGAGACTCCTTTCCTATCTTCACTAACAGAGTGGCCTGTCTTGGCCTCTTCTAGTAAATTAGTGAGCAGCCAATGCAGCATTTTGAGGATTACTTCTTCATAAGGTCCTTTCATATAGCACTTTTTGATGCTTTCATTGTCTAGGAATATGCGATGAAGACATTCGCTTGCTACTACTACACTAATCACGACTACGTCATCCTCATCGCCTGAAATTTCAATTTTAGGTTCAATAGATGTAATTGACGAGGTTAAGCATTGAAAGTTACCTATGAGTTTGCCTTTTTCAACATGCGTATCTTGCAGGCTACATTTCTTTTTACACATAGTAGCACGCTCTTTCATTAGCGCCTTTAAATCTTTAGCATCTTTTGAATGTTTTCCACATTTTGATTTTCTCACCTATTGGCCAAATCATTGCTACTTGTCAAGTTTTTATTGCTCACTGCTATAGATGATAATAGATCTCTCCTTCCTCATTTTATTTCTTCTCAATCTAGATAATTCTTAATTGGAGCGTAAAAGTTTGTAGTTTACTTTGTTTAGATTTTTCATAGATGGAGCTAATTTGTTGATGGTACAAATTGAACTAAGCGATTTTATTGATGAAAAAAATCACAATGGAATCTCAATGTAAATACAATCAACAAATCCTCTCATCTATGATTTTCAACTCCTAAATTCACTAATTTAGATACTTCAACTAAAACAATGGGAGAAATCGCTATTTGATAGGAGATATTCGAATTGCGCATCTCCTTCAATGATGGGATACTTATAGACACCCAACTAGGTCTTGAGGCAGTTTGATCTTTTGGAGAGAATGACAGATAGCAACTCCTTGTTGGCTTTCTTGCAATTGATTCTGTTAAATGAGGTCATGCTTTACTTGCTTATCAATGTATTTCTTATTGACAGCCTGTAGCCTATCTATTTATTAAAAACTTGCTCGTGGCTCTTAGGCGAGCCTTCTGCTTCTTTGATCCCTTCATGTGTAGCGTTATATTTCTCTTGATGTCAGGATAAATTCGTGAATTAGATTTCGTAGGCTAACAATTATAATGTGTAGTTGAAAATAAAATTTGACCATTTATAAATTTTACCAAATGTAAGTTTATTTATTACTGTAAAATATTTGCAAGTTGACTCTTTCATTTGGGATTCAGCTAATAGGATCCAAAAAAATAGTTCATGAATAAGTAATTCTTGTGGCCCTTCGTTAGTTCCAAAAACAGGGTTCTACTGGAATTAGAAATGCAAAACCCAATACGATTAAAGATAAAGAATGTAATGTTGTATTTGATTGACATGTTGCATCGGTGCTGAATAAAACTACATTCCACATGCCATTTAGGTGCACTAGGACCAAAATCTCTTTATTAATATTCTGACTCGAACCGTCTTAAGGTCATATTCGCATAGCTTTACCTTTTGTTTTTGCTTCTTGTATAAGAGCTTTTGAAAGAAGGTACATTAGTTTTTGTTTGGATATTAATTTTTAAAAACAATTTCCATTCTAAAAGTGCTTTTAGAGGAAGCTATGATGAACCAACTTTCTCTCAACTTCTTCTAAAAGTTCTTCTAATAATCAAAAGCTCTCTCACAAAATTAGTCAAATGACCTTTTGGGTTTTTAGTCTATGCACTAATAGTGCTTTTAACTAAGTACTATATAGTGTATAAACTTGCGAGTTAAGCTTTATTTGTAGCTCTAAGTGCAATGATTTGTAAATTGTTCATGGATTTATCTTATTTGAATCTTTCAACAAGTGCGGTAATAAAGTGTGAAAAAGAAGTCATGAGATCAACCTTAAAACTTATTAGAATATGATGTAGAACAGATGATTGAATGGATTGAGAAACAATTGGATTGAAAAGAAAAAAACAGTAGATTGCAAATTTGACGTTCTAACTCTTATTTGGAACCTTAAGACCTTTTCGTTTGGGACTCGAAAATTGCTTTTAAAGTTAGAGTGCTACTTGTTACTAGTTTATTTGGATTTGTTTCCATTTTAGTTCTTACTTGTTACTAGTTTATTTGGATTTCGTTTCCATTTTAGTTCTTTTAAACTAGATTTTCATGTAAACCATTATAAATAAAGGATGAATTATTCATTTTTAGGTATCTTACATAATAAAATTTCGTGAGTTTATTTTTTCATAATTTGAAGAATTCCAAAATTGTGTTCTTAAACTTTTTGTTTAAATTCTTTATTTCCCACTGCGCCAAAAAATATATATAATTTGTAACACTTTGTTCAACTCACATTTTCTTGCAATGTTACATACAATATACATGTTTTATAGATACATTGCTGCATAATAAAAAATGCTTGTTTTTCCTTATTATTAGTAGCTATAAAATTATTTTCAAACAAATTTGATGTATGAATCCTGTTATTTCTTACAATGGTAAATATAAACAAGATAAACAAAGTTGGCTGAACTTGGAACGAAAATAGGACTAATCTCTTGATGTTAGAAGTAACATTTCAGGTACAGAGTTGTATGTCGAGATTTAATGTCTATGGCACAACGTCATGCCACTTGTATCTATAGGGGATATGCACAATGTTATGTACCACACTTTTCAGTGAGTCGCCACACCTAAAATGTTGATGACTTATGAATCGACACACACACACACACAAAAAGAAAAAGAAAAAGGAAAACGGAAATACAGCTATGCATGTCGACTGATATGTGATTTGTTAGCATCTAACATTGTCACTTTTCACTCTCCTGTACAACTAAACCTTCATTCTAAAAGTTCTGAGCTGAAGTTTAATGTATTTTTTCATGGTCCAGAGAGTTAAACAAAAATTTTATCTTACCTTTCTTTTTCGGGCACTACTTTTGAACCTTGTGCTTCCGTTGAGAATCCCCGAATTGAGCCCGAAGAAAGAGAGTGGTCTGATATCGAGATTTTTGTTACAATTCCAAATTAATTTGTATTTGAACTTGTGGAATCACTGGCATGATTGTCATCTCCAACCAAATGAGGAGATGATGAGCATGCTTGAGATCATCCTCCAATTTTACTTTGTGTATGCGTCATCTTCACGAGTAATGCTTGTAGATCTTGTTCCGTTTGAAGTGGGAGTTAACTCATTCCTACGACTCTGCAAGACATTAATAGCTCTTTGAGGAAAATGGATTGTGGAGTGCTAAATAGTACTAAATTAAAAAAAGAAGATAAAATCTCATCCATCATATTGTCAAGTCCGATTACTTACCAATAATTTTCATAGAATTTATAGATCATAGCTAATTTATTAACATATACCAAAAAATGAAACAGCATAAGAGAGTCTTAGTTGAAAGAGCTACTGTACCATATCAAGAAAGCTGGGATTTCTTTCAGCATTTTGTGTCGTCCCTTCATAACCAAAAGTGAAAGCCGGTAAAGCTGAATCTGCAGCAGGATCGGACAATGGTGTAGATAAAGCAAACCTCTGATTTTGCAGAGCATATTACAAACACGCAATATATTTTTCATTATCCCCAGTGAGATCTGCTAGGGCCAAACGTCCATGCCATGTAGGAATATTTCTAAAGAATCCTCTGACCTCGTCAGCAACTTTATCTCTTGGTTGCAAAAGAACTTGACCGAGCTTCTTGGCCCCACATTTGAAAGCATTATGTATTCGGTCGAAATTGCCTATATAGTGAAGTGAAGGATATTAGCTTAAAATCCTGAGAGGCAGCTCAGTAGTCAAGCATTGGGTTTGCTCTCCAATGGTTACCAGTTCGAGTCCCCTCACGGCTACTGAGGTGAGTACCCAATTGTAAACTTCAGAGCCTCTGGGATTAGTTGAAATGCACATAAGCTGGCCTGGACACCTACGGTCATTAAAAAAAGGAAAAAAAAAGGATATTAGCTTAAACGAAAGAATATTTTCTCCTTGTTATAGCTCCTTATTTTCCCTTGTGAAAGCAGGAATATTCTAAGTTCATTCTTACTGAAGATACGCTTTTACTTTCTCATCTTTTAGGTAGGTGTAAATTATAGGAAATTTCTTCATTTAATACGTTATAGGACGTCATATGTCATGCGATCAAGGAACTATTGAATACTGTAGGTGTCACAAGCTCTTACCATTACTAATAGTTTCAACAATATTTTTGGTAGCATGGAGGAACACAAGCATAGTTTAAAACTCATTCATGTTACAACAGATTTGTTATATTAGCACAAGTTTTGATTCTTTTGTATCGGAAAGTGAAACATATTCTTTCGTTTAAGCTAATAACCTTTTTTTTCTTTTTTTTTTTAATGACTGTAGGTGTCTGGGCCAACTTACGTGCACTCTGACTAATCCCACGAGGCCCTGAAGTTTACAGTTGGGTACTCACTTCAGTAGCAGTGAGGGGACTCGAACTAGTGATCATTGAAGAGCAAACCTAAGGCCTGACTACTAAGTTGCCTCTCAGGATTTTAAGTTAATATCCTTCACTTCACTATATAGGCAATTTTGACCAAATACGTAGTGTTTTCGAATGTGGGGCCAAGAAGCTCGATCAAATTCTTTTGCAACCAAGAGATAAAGTTGTTGATGATGTCAAAGGATTCTTCAGAAATATTTCTGCATGACATGGATATTTGGCCCTGGAGCTCATTAGGGATAATGAAAGATATATTGCGTGTTTGCAATATGCTCTGCAGAGTCAAAGGTTTGCTTTATCTACACCATTGCCTGATCCTACTGCTGATTCAGCATTACTTGCTTCCACTTTTGGTTATGAAGGGACGAAGCAAAATACTAGAAGAAATCCTAGTTTCCTTGATACGGTACAGTAACTCTTTCAATTGGGACTCTCTTATGCTGTTTCATCTTTTGGTTTATGTTCATAAATTAGTTATGATTTATAAATTCTATAAAATTGTTGGTAGGTAATCGAACTTGACAGTAAGATGGATGAGATTTTATCTTCTTTTTCTAATTTAGTATTATTTAGCACTACACAATCCATGCTCCTCAAAGAGCTATTAATGTCTTGCAGAGTCGTAGAAATGAGTTAACTCCCACTTCACGCGGAACAAGTTCTACAAGCATTACTCGTGAAGTTATGCATGCACAAAGCAGAATTTGAGGAAGATCTCAAGCATATTCCTCATCTCCTCATTTTGTTGGAGATGACAGTCATGTCAGTGATTCCACAAGTTCAAATACAAATCAATTTGGAATTGTAATAGAAATCTCGATATCAAACCTCTCTTTCTTCGGGCCCAATTTGGGGATTCTCAACGGAAGCCCAAGGTTCAAAAGTAGTGCCCGAAAAAGAAAGGTAAGATAACATTTTTGTTTAACTCTCTGGACCATGGAAAATACATTAGGCTTCAGTTCAGAAATTTTAGAATGAAGGTTTAGTTGTACAAGAGAGTGAAAGGTGACGATATTAGATGCTAACAAACGACAAATCAATCGGCATGCATACTTGTATTTTCATTTTCCTTTTTTTTTTGTGTGTCGATTTATGAGTCATCATTAACATTTTGGGTGTGGTGACTCACTAAAAAGTGTGGTACATAGCATTGTGCATATCCCCTGTAGATACAATTGGCATGACGTTGTACCATAGACAATAAATCTCGACATACAACTCTGTACTTGAAATGTTACTTCTAGCATCAAGAGATTAGTCCTATTTTCGTTCCAAGTTCAGCCAACTTTGTTTATCTTGTTTACATTTAACATTGTAAGAAATAATATGATCCATACATCAAATTTGTTTGAAAATAATTAATTTATAGCTATTAATAATAAGGAAAAACAAGCATTTCTATTGTGCAACAATGTATCCATAAAACATGTATATTGTATGTAACATTGCAAGAAAATGTGAGTTGAACAAAGTCTTACAAATTTATTTATTTATTTTTTGGTGCAGTGGGAAATAAAGAATTTAAGCAAAAACTTCAAAAACACAATTTTGGAATTCATCAAATTATGAAAAAAATAAACTCACGAAATTTTATTATGTAAGATGCCTAAAAATGAATAGGGCATCCTTTATTTATAATGGTTTACATGAAAATCTAGTTTAAAAGAACTAAAATGGAAACGAAATCCAAATAAACTATTAGTTGAGACGCTCTACTCTTAATTTCATTAATTAAGTAATTAATTTTTTTCCTTAAATTAAAGTCATATTAGGATTTAACAATTTGTTTTTAACTCAAGTAAGCATTTTGCAGAAAACTCATAATACATCAAAGGAAATCAAATTAGTAATATAAAGAGTTAAAAGAACAGTCAAGTTTATATTATACCAAAAGTGAATTTTTTTTTTTTACAAAATACACCTCATAACTCGTTAGTTATATGACTACCAAAAATTTTGATCAAAAGAAACACTTGCAGATTTTTCAAAAGTTTCCTATAGATCTATTCTACAGCAGACTGATTTGGCGGTATGTTAAAGTTTCTCAAAATCCTTTCATTTTCACCACTGTTTTACTAGACACCCTTTTTATTTTTTATTTTTTAACATAATGGCACCTTGTTGTCTACTCTACATAAATTATAGTATTTACATAACGACAAGTGACTAAATCATAAAAATCAATCATCACCATTACAAAAACCTTGTCGTTCTCAAAAGTTTCGATCTCTTCCTCCTCATCAACCATCGTATAAAAACGTGTATAGTGAGTATGCCTATATATAACATGTATAGGCATGAGGTCCTAAGTAATTTCGACATGTCTGATGGTACGAACAATTTCAATTTCTCGCGGGTGCATCTACAGTACAAAATACAAAACGTGAACCATAGAGTTCAGTAAATATGATGATGCGATGATGCATGTCAAGCATACATGGGCCCAAATCCTTATTATAGTGTATCGTATGAGCTCAAAATTAACATGGCTTTTCTTGCGCGCAAACCAATGTCAACGCATCCGTCGTTGCCCACCGAGACTGAGGATGCCACATCAGTATATCATATATACAAATTCAAGGCCTGACCTAAACATATATACAGCGCTTCAAGTGCCTATCCCCAGTCCTAAAGCCACCAAGGGACCTCCTGATATCGCCTGTATATATATATGCTGAACTCCCAATACCCTATCTTTAGCTACCCTCAATGACCGTCAGGAGCCTCAAGCGGTATAGCTATTCAGACTCAATAGTACGGTATATCTATAATGGAATTCACATTTAAAATTTTTAACAGCAACTCAATCAGCATGATAATAAAAGTACGCATGATCTTGAAAACGTTATCATACATACGTTTTTCAAATAAACTCAATGCACACGTAACATACTACAATGTCACATAGTAAAAAAGAGACCAGCACATATAAACACATAATTACACATTAATGTATCTTGTACTGTAGTTGAAAAACATCATATTTACTTTTTTCGTGACTTCCTTGATCGATATCTGCATTAATACAATAACATCTATATTAATCATATCTTATCTTATTATTTCCCAATTATCACATCTAAACTAAACCCATAAGATAATATAGGTTATTTAATAGTATACCCCTAATAAAAATAATGATACTAGCTTATTGTCTACTAGTAGTAGTAGTAATAATAATAATAATATAAATGAAATTAATGTTATCGTCATTAACTAAATTCCATAAGATTATTACATGTACAATATAAGTTAGCCAACACACTACCATATTACTTTCCCATTTCATGCTTGATCCATTTTTCATTTCAATTAACACAAATATATATATATATATATATACATATACATACCCATTAGTAAATTTTTTATTCAATCCATATTTTTCTTTACCACATTTCCATCATATCTTACCATTGACACTATGCATTACAGCAATTTTTCTTCATATTTTATCACATAACTAGATCAAAGTAATTTAAGCTTAAGCCTCAAGTACTAATTGTTTTCTTTCTTCCCATTTCAATTTACCATGTCTACATATATAAATATAATAGTGGCCCAATTTTCATAACTATTATCATGATGATATTGAGAAATACCAAGTTATTTTCTAACCCTACTCACTTCTTCTTTACTACATCTCCCCCAAATGTATTTTATACAATCTTTAATAATTCAAGCAAAATAAACTAAAACTCAATATATTTTGAGCTAATATATAAATTTTAAAATTTTCAAAGTTAAGATTTTGAAATGGAAGAATTATAATTTATCTTCCTTGATTTTTATTAATTAAACTAACTATAATATTATCTTTTATCAACCATTAAAGAACCGTAAAATCACACATTTTAATTCTTATTTATAAACCAACTAGGTACTTAAAATAAATAAATAAATAATAAATTAAATAATTATCTAAATAAATAATTTAACAATTTTTTTTTTCCAAAGTAATTAACTTAAAGAAAATACATACATTAAGAAGTGAAAATGATGGGAGACAAGGTATGGCAAAGCTTATAAGTATCCCTTATTTATTGTTTTTGTTAGGGGTTAATTGTGCAATTTCACAAATTGCACATCTAATCCCAAGGATAATGTGTTATTTTTTGATTGGTTATAAAATTGCATCTTTAGACCTTGTACCACATATGCAATTATTTCTTTGTTTATAAAATTGCACCTTTAACCCTTGAGCAAATATGCCATTATAAAATTGCATTTTCAATCCTCATAATATTACTTTAATTACAATCCTTAATAATATTTATTCTATCAATAAATTAAGTTCCTAAAATTAAAAACAAACTCTCTAAAATATAAAAATCTTTACTAGAAAATTTGGGATGTCACATTATCCCCCACTTAAAGAAATTTCGTCCTCGAAATTTAAAACTTACCGAATAATTCCAGATATTTAATCTTCATATCTTCTTCCCATTCCCATGTTGCTTCTTCTGAAGTTTGATTTCTCTACAAAACTTTGACAAGTGGGATACGTTTATTTCGTAATTGTTTGACCTCTCAGAGTAAAATTTTTACTTGTCTTTCTTCATAGGTTAAATTAGTTTCCAAATCCATTGGGTTATCCGGAAATATATGTGAAGCATCAAGAGCATACTTTCGAAGAGCAGAGACATGAAACACGTTGTGAATGTGAATCCCATTATAGATGTATCGTACTATTGTGTCCGAATAACTACACCGCTTAAGGCTCTTGATGGTCATTAAGGATAGCCAATGATAGGGTATTAACTAGAAATTGACAACTCTATCAACCATGTATAATTGAGTGCATATCTCTATCGACCCTGTATAATTGAGTGCACATCATAAGTGGTAGCAATCGAATAGCTCTATGGTTTTTAGTTAGCTTAGTAGATGCATACATAGATCTTAAAATGGGCAAGGAGTTGGGTGAATCTATGAAAGGCTTGCTAAAAAACTTCATATAATTGTAAACCTAGATGTGTTTGCTAGGAAATATGTAGACATGATAGGGATCGACCCTGAAATTGTTTGTCGCATCTTGAAGCTCGATCCTAAGATCAAACCCAAAATACAAAGTTACCAGCCAATGAGGGTTGAAAAGTACGAGGCGCTAAAATGCGAAGTGGGTAAGCTATTAGAAAATGGCTTCATCCATGAAGCTCGCTACCTAGTATGGGTATGAAATTTAATTATAGTACCAAAGAGCAATAAAAAGTAGCAAACCTGTCAAGAGTTTACGAACTTAAACAAAGCCTATTTGAAAGATAGCTTCCTAATCCCCAGAATTGATTAGTTAGTGGATGCTACTACGGGACATGAATTGTTAGTTTCATGGATGCATATTTCGGGTATAATCAAACCTCCATGTATGGGCCTGATGAGGAACATATCGCATTCGTGAAAGATCGAGGACTATTATCACAAAGTAATGCCGTTCAGGTCAAAAAACACAAGGATAACATATCAAAGGCTAGTGAACAGAATATTCGCAGAACAAATCAAGAAAATGATGAAAGTTTACATCGATAACATGCTTGTGAAAAGCCTTCAAGCTGGAGACTACTTAAAACAACTAGAAGAAACTTTCAATATGTTGTGAAAATACAGGATGAAACTCAATCTGCTCAAATGTGCATTTGGAGTAAAATTTGGAAAATTCAAGTCCTTGTAAAAATGTGGTTCCCATCTAAACCAAAAGCAATATAATGCCTAATAGTGAAGGTCACTATCCTGAGTAGGTTTGTTTCCAAGTGCTAAAAGGAGGAAAGAAATTCGAATAGAGCAGTGAGTGAGAGCAAGCATTCCAAACCTTGAAAGACCACATAGGAAAAGCACCCTTGTTTGCAGAACTTGGAAATGGAAAAAAGCTATTGCTATATCTAGCAATATCCAAAGTGATGGTCATCTCTGTATTAGTGAAGGAGGATGGGCTACAACAATTTTCTATAAACTATATAAGCAAAGCACTGCAAGGAGTATAGGCAAGGTATCCGAGTATGAAAAAGTTGACCTTTGCCCTTATTTCAGCATTGCAAAAACCGTCCTATATCTAGAGATATTGTATCAAAGTATTAACAAATTCCCCACTCAAGCAAGTATTGCAAAAGCCTTATACGTTGGGAAAGTTAATCAAATGGACAGTAGAACTGGGATAATTTAAGATAAGTTAAAAGGAGTGGTTTGCAATCATAGTACATGCATTAGTTAATTTTATCGTAGGTCTATCGGATGTCCCCATTCATGAAGAAGAGCCTGAATAGGGAGTGTATAATTTGTTGGGAATTGATCATCAGGAGATATTGGCTCGAGGGCAGGCATATTATTAACAAGCCCAAAAAAGCACAAATTAAATTGCACAATAAGGTTCGCGTTTAAAGCAGCCAATAATGTGGCTGAGTACAAGACATTATTGGTAGGCCTTCATTGTCAAAAAAAATGCATGCATGAAACATTGAGCCCCCATTTGGCATTGATTATTTTTTAATGGATGGAATAATTTTTTTTTTAAGTTGGTGGTTGAAAAAGAAGGAAAAGTTTTCGATTTACGTATAATATCATTTTATAGAATATTTTGTGCTTGAAAGCAAGAGAGAGCAAAATTTAATTTAATTTAATGGATCCAAACAAGGGCTGAGATAAAAAGCGACTCGTAGTTAGTAGTCAACCAATTAAACGGTGCGTTCGTAACCAAAGATAAAACAATAGTTTCATATCTCACAGAAGTCGCGAAATTATTTTGACCAATTTGAATTTATCCAAATTTTTAGAAAAGAAACTGAGCATGTAGAAGCCTTATCAAAGCTATCAAGTTCAAAAGACGCTAGGTTGTTTGAAACAGTTTTAGTGGAAGTCTTGTGGATACGAGGCAGAACCTTATGTATGCAAGACATTATCTCTTATTTGAGGGATGAAGTACTTTCTGAGGATAAAAAGGCAACGTAAAAATTGTGAATAAGAGCTATTAGATACACGTTGCAAGGTGACATCCTGTTCAAGTGAGGAAATACACTCCCTCTGCTCAGATGTATAGGAGAAGACTAAGCCTTATACATAATGAAGGAAATCCATGAATGTGTATGTAGCAATTACGCTCGTAGACACTTTTTAGTGCAAAAAGCTTTAAAACGGGGATATCATTCACCTAATATGAGAAAAGATGCAACAAACTTTGCAAGGAAATGTGATAAGTGTCAAACATTCGCATTAATTCCACGGCAATCTATATAAGAGCTGTTAACCAGCAGTGGCCTCTGGTCATTTGGATTTAGATAACTAGTGGGTTCGAATTACTTGATATAAGCTTAAATGCCGAAGCACTCATCTAGTGGAGAATCATCATGTGGATAGATTTTTACCATTGCCGATTATGCCCTACAAAACTAGAGCTGGAAAACAAATGTGTGAATTGAGAGCAACCTTTGGATTTACCACCTGGGGGAAGAAAATGAACAACTATTTGAGGATTGTAAATCTCACGAGCAGATAAGAGAATATTTGACCACAAAGAATCGGGTTGGAGCCAATTTAATAATTATTTCGTCTTGACAACTTTTTCCCAACTTAGATTAATATTGAAGGTGATTGCACACACATATTAATCGAACATTGGATAAGCTTAACTTCCTTTTGGTGCCATTATTTGGAACATATTTGTGAATTGATTGTACTATTTTACACTCATTGATTTTTGGCAAGTTATCTAATATGCTGATCATTATCATGTGTTGCTTGATTGTGCTGTAGATAATTTTTCTCAGGACGAGCAAGATTTAGGTTTTAGAGAATTTGAGAAGCATGTTTTGCACATTTATTCTACATATGCTTATTATTGATATAAAAAGCGGATATTGACTCACAATTGGATAATTTTGACTTCTGTAAGTCATAAACCCCAACGGAAAGAGAACAAGGCAAAATGGAATGAAAAGAGACTAAAATTGTACAAAATTATCAATTTGGAGACTAATATACAGACATCAAAAGGTGAAAGAACTTTGTGTGCAATTTATGGAGGGCGTAATTGAAAGAAAAATCAAATTTTGATGACCCAATTGTATAATATTAAAGTTGAGGGACCTTGATAGCAAATTGTAGAGGACTTGTGTGCAGAGAGAGAGAGAGAGAGGCCATAGAATCGGCGCCACCTCACAGCGCTACTTTAAAAGAAATTGGGGACCGATTTAATTTGAGTGAAATTTAAGGGACTTAGCTGCAATTTTCCTATGTTATTAATTAAATGAACAGCAGCCTCAGCGGATTTCGGTCTGCTTCTTTTTCTTTTCTTTCCTTTGCCTTTCTTCATCTTCATTTTTCTTTTCATTTTCGCTTGTAATTTTGGGGGAAAAGTCTAGAGCACATAGAGAATTCATCGAAGGAGTTGGAGAAATTTTGGGAATATCAGGAGCTATTCATTATCATTTTCACAAATCCATCCAATAAGCATTTTTTTCTATAATCTTGTATTTTTTCATTGTTTTGCCAAACTTGCTATGTGTTATAAATATTTTCCGTTTTCTCATTTATATAATATGGGCTAAGTATTTATGTTAGGATTTATACTAATAGTTTGACCTAGTTTTAATTGATTTTAATATATGCTCTTTAATGTTAGATTACTTATATTCATGTGTTTTTATTATTCTTATTATTGTATTTTTATTTATATGGTTAATGAATGAATATGTTTAGTGATTTGTACTTTATCGAGAGAAAATTATGCATTTTAGACCAAATTGTGGAAATCCTAGGATGATGTAAGGGATAAAAATATATGTTTGTGTAATTCCGTTAGTATAATTGTGACAAGTAATAAAGGAGATTTATCAAGTTCAAGTATTGTTCCTACAGAGACTACTATCTACTATCAAATTTTAAAATTAGCCTAGCTCCAATTTAAGTAAAACGGTAACCAATTATAAAATCAAAGTGTGGATTATAGTAAAATCTACTAAATTAAATAACAAAATCAATTTAACATGATTGAGAAGAATGCGAATTTTGGTAATTAGGATTTCCGATTTCACTTAGGTTGTTTAATATTCATCTAATTCCAATGTATTCAATCACTTTTCATATGTACCAACTATCAAATTAACCTAATATAGCTAGTGATCTCTCTTGGGCAACATTAATACTATTCATATGCCTGAATTTACCATATCTCTAATATGAATGCATTAACTTATAGGAATTCAATATGGATTGCATATCCTATAATTATCTCTCGATCTCTTATAATACCTATGTTATTTATTGCATGAGCTAGAATCGCACATTACCTCTCGATCTCAGTACTATCCCTAAATCATTCAATGTTGATCAAGCAATTGCGGTTTACACTTTCTTAATGAACAACACCTTTTTGCATTTTTTGATGCCTAGGTGTGACGAGAAATTGTGGATCTTGAATCTTGATGATATCAACGGTTGTGGATCCTCCCATAAAAAGTAGAAACTATAGCTTATTTCTCATAGCATTGTCTTGTGGGTTACTCTCAATTTTTCTCTCTTCTTCTTAACTGCTACCCAAGGTCGACCTTGAGGCGAGGCGGATAAGGCTTGCGCCTCAGGTCCAAATTTGGAGGGGGCCTCTTTTTGGCCCAATTTTTTTCTAACGAAGAAAATGGAAAATCTGATTTCATTCCATTCTTTCGTCTCTGCTCGAGCCTCGAAGTCGATTGCTCCAAGCCTCCTACTCCAATCGGACCAGCGATAGCCTCATTTCGTTAGGCGATTTCCTCTATCACTACAAGAAATTTGTTCTCTCTCTCTCTCTCTCTCTCTCTCTCCCTCTCTCTCTCTCTCTATATATATATATATATATAGAAAAGATAATTATTTTTTGTTAAAAAAATTCCAAATATTACAAAACCCAAAAATACACGGAACCCACGTCTTTCCTACTTCTCCAAAAATTTTCTCCAAAAATTTTGCCTTCAGAAAATTTTGGTAAAAAAATCTTCCCTCTGCTCCTCTCTATTTAATTGAAGAATAATCTCAAATGCAAGTAAAGATGAAAACTTTCCGCTTTCTTTAATTGAAGAAGAATCTCGATCTTTTACACGGTAAAGATGAAACGACCTGCACCTTTCAATAATGCGGAGGGACGAGATTTGAAGCAACAATTTGAAATGCTAGTGATTTGTACGGAATACAAACGATATGGGCAAGTAATTTACAGATTTTTGAGTTTATCCATATCTAATTCATGCTTCTATATTTTTCCTTGATTACTTTATGAATATTAATATTAGTGATTTTTCTTTTCATCTATTTTTCTTCCACTTGGTGGAAACACGGATTATAGGGTATAATGTCCTTGTGTCTGGTTTATAGGCCTGCTTTAGGTTCTAATTAATTTCATCGATTTGTGTTATTCGTCAAACAGTCTCAAGGTATGCCCATCAATCCTCTTTATTTTTTGATTTAAACAAATGAGTTTGAAGTCTTGGATGAACGGATTTGATTTAGTTTTACTATCGGTCGATTCAATTTTGGTTGCTTGTTTCCCTTTTTTATTTGTAAGCCAACAAGTGCCTATAGTTGCTGATGTCTTTCAGGGAAGGGGGGACTCAAAAAATTGACTCATTTCAAAAATCAAATTAATGAATTCCATTTCCTATTAAAATGTGTCAATGTCGAATTACAGATCTTGTTTTATCATTAGATTAATTTGATTTTGAATTTTCGGAGAGAGTTAAAGTATATTAGATATAGGATTTAGGAAAAAGGGACTAGAAAAAATTATGAGCTGAAGCATGAGTATAGTTCAATATACTTGTTCTTGGCCTTTGATTTATTATGATTTGATTTGTATTGTTATGTTATGGGAATTTTAGATCTAATAATGTTGATAAGAGAGAAGTTCAACTTGTCAGTAACTTGGTTCTTATACTCTAGCAATTCAGGATTATGTTTCAAATACATGTATCGATAAATTTGTAATTTTGCTTAGAGTTAATGTCTTTTTTATTTGTTTTTGGGTTAAAAGTCGGTTGAGTAATTTTTCTTTGGGAGATAGAAACTGAAGTTGATACATATAGTTGCTACTGTTACTATGTAACCTGCATGATGACATACACACACGAAACATTCGATTTAGATAATGATGCCGTAAAAGTTCATACTGTAACCTGCATATGGAAGACCAAAATGTAGTAGGCTCATCATCAGAAACATAGTAGAGGCTAAGCCAATCTTTCCTCACACTTCTCTACCTCTGGCTGGCAAAATTGGGACTCGGTCAACCACTTAAATTATTCCCACTTGCTCTGTTCCTTTTATCAAGACTATTAATACTCCTACACATCCTGAGATATTGATGTGGACCCTTCCTAGTCCAGGTGAATAATATGTTCCCTCCAGTGATAATCTTGATCAGCCACCTTTTCGTCCTATGAGTGTCGTTCATCATCACCCAGTGAACTAATCGAAGAAAAAGAACAATCATCGTATTGGTTTACGTTCTTACTCATACACAGTGAAAGAGATGATAGAGGTAGTGAAATTATATGTCATCAACACGTACTTAATTAAATAATTTTGCTAATAGTTTGAATATAGTATTCGAAACATAATTGTTAACTATTAGGATGGTACGAGGTTTTCTGAAGTCGACGCCTTCGAGTTCACTTATGCAGGGAAGAATAATGTTAGACTTATAATGCAGCTACTGCTCAACATGTAAGAAAGACTCAGTGCTATAACTTTTATTTTGCTTATCATTTGTTATATTTCTGGTGTATAGCTGTATTATATCTCTTGCATATTTTAATTATATGGACTATTTAATATCTCCTATGGGTTATGTTTGTTGGATAAGATGTTTGTCAAAGAGTATAAATATTTTATAGAGAAGGCAAAAGAGCAGCAGCTTCTCGAAGATATCCCTTTGGAGGAATACCTATAGATGATCCTAAGGTTGGACTTAATATCATGCTGTCCGTTCCAAGTGCAAAGCCCCGATGTCAAATTTGTGGGTTGAAAGATGGTCGCCTTCGAGACATTAAGACATCTTCTTCCAATGTACGCAATATGGAGAAGGAGATAGAAGCAGAAAGTGCTAATACGGTAAGGGGTAGTTAACTTTCCCCGCTCCGAACATACCTATTTATTGATAAGGCGAGGAAGGCTTCTCGAATGGTAGAATATGTAGCTCGAGTGAAGATGGAGCAAATGATGCACAACAAGCTCAAGGTTGTTAAACAACAATTCAATTCTACTTTACAGTCTGGGCATCACTCTATGCACCAGTTATGTGGTAAAATTCCTGGCTTCGTTGTAACATCATTTACACTATTATCAATATAGATCAATAGTTTAATACTAATGAGGAAAATGATGTTATGGAAGACAAAGAGAACAACTTTGGAGAGTCAATTGCATATCTAATTTATGATGATGAAGAGTTATGATTTTTAGATACATAATAATAGATACATATTATGTTTGCTATATTATTTTAAGTCCAGGTGTAACGATAATTTTTTTGGAAATATTTTGGATTTAATATTACATTGATTGGAACTACACGTCTTAATTGATTTATTTTTATTTTTTGCATCTTTATATTATTTTGACTATGGTTAAAAAATTACTATAATATAAAAAATAAATAAAATATATAAAAATAATTTAATTTCTCCCTATGAATTCTTTCATAATAGCCTATAAATATGTTTTTACTACGAAAAATTATTTATAGAGAAAAACACGGTTTAGCCTACAAAATAATATATACCGTTGTCACAAAGTTTAAATTGTTTGGAAAATGTAGATATTTTAGTTGACAAATATTTTTTTTTTCAGACAAAAAATTTTTTGTAGGGGAAGGCAAGATTTAGCCCACAAGATAATTTGTAGGGAAAATCGATATTGTTTTGTAGGCAAAATTAATTTTAACAGACGAATAATTTTGTCGGAGGAGAATTTACGCAATGTATTGTATTCATCTCCAAAGGGTTTGTAGGGAAAAACTTTTGCCCACAAATTTCAAAATTTTGTAGGCTAAAGTCTATCCCCGGATGTTTGCTCCATAATTGTCCCTACAAATATTTTTTGTCTGCAACAAATAAAATCCTTTTCTTAAAAATAAATTTTGTAGGGAAAACATAAAATTCTTGTAGTGTCTTATTCTTCCCTTCCCTTCACTCTTTCACAAATCACAGGAAGATTCACAAATTAAAACAAGTCGACCCTTTTTTGAACGCTAGCCGCACACCACCAAGACTGTTCCTCAGTCCTCCGCCAGTCGTCGCCACCTCCAATCAGCCATTGATAGCCATGAAGCCACCAGGAGAGAGTCAGTGGTCTTTCTTTTATTTATTTATTTTTTCATTTTTGTTGTAATACAAGATTTTTAATTGATTTTTGTTATATTGTATTTGTGTGTGATTAGGTAGTTGTGTTGGTTTAGGGCATTGAACTATTTGTTCCAAACTTGCTTTGTTATCCATTTGCGAGGATTTTTCCTAGGATTGATCCCCAAAATTGTAAATTATATGAAGCAAAATTGTATCTTTGAGTTGTTAGCTATATATTTTGAATTTTTTTTTTTAATTATTAAGGTATGGGATTGATCATGTTAATTATTTGTTTTATGAAAAAAATGTTGGCCTCTTTGACTTGTTTGTGTACATTTGGATTATACTTCATCTGTCGACGCATGTTGTAATCAAGAGTAACAGATTCTCAATCGGACCGTGCTACACATACCGAATTTTTTTTACCTACACTACTAAAAAACATGGCTTCAGACACGGAATTTTCGTTTCTAAAATCTTGATATCCATTGCTATTACTCTTTACTAACGAAATATTTGCAACCACAAATCCGTTATTAATTGATGGTCGTTGATAGTTATCAACAGATTGTGCCGTAGGTAAAGAGTAAACATTTTACCAACGAAAATTTTGTTGGTAATGTGTGAATTTTTTACCTACGAAATTTTCATCGGTAAAAATTTTAACCAATACCAATCGATTTTCCATTGGTAAATGTCTACCATTACAATTGGTAAAAATCGATGTTGTAAATAGTCGTATATATGTGAGGCATGGTAAAAAAAAAAAAAAAAATTATTTACTTATTTTTTTATTATTGTTATTATTATTTATTTAATAATTATAATTATTTTTTTTAAACTTTAAACAATTGAATTGAAAAGCCAAAAATTGTTTAATCACTTATTGGACCACAAATTTATAGATGAGAACTTCAAAGACTTTGTTGTAAACTTCCGATATAGTATAATTGAATTACTTTTACCAACGGATAATTCGTTTCTAATTACCAACAGAATATCCGTAGGTGAAAGATTCAAATGTTAAACGGTCATATTAGGTACAGAATATTCGTTGGTAAAGAGATATTATCATTACCAATAAAAAATTCGTTACTGATTATTGTAGTTGAAAGTGAATTACTTTTATCAACGGATAATCCGTTTCTAATTACCAACGGATTAATGGATTATTTCCATTGGTAATATTTACGGAATATCCGTAGGTGAAAGATCCAAATGTTAAACGGTTGCATTAGGTACGGAATATCCATTAGTAAAAGGACATCATTGTTACCGACGGAAAATCCGTTGCTGGTTATCGTAGTTAAAAGTGAATTAATTTTACTAACGGATAATTCATTTCTAATTATCAACAAATGTAATCCGTTAGTAATTTTCCGTAGGTGTGAAGTTTTTTTTTAGTAGTGCTAATCTTTTATCTACTACTCACAATAGGAGGTGGGGGGCCACGGCTAGACATTATTTAATACACGCGGGGCCCGCGTGTTACGTAAGAGGGGGGGACATGGTTCAATAGTCCCCCCTCCGTACATACATTTTTTTCCTTCTCGTTCTAGTCTGGTGGAACTGGGTTTTGGTCATTTTTTTTTCATTGATGATGGAGCTCATCAATTTTTTCACCTTTGTATTTTCTTGCTCATTTTTTATTTAGGATATATGACCTTCTGATTACAAACCAATACGGGTAAATCCTTTTGGTTATTATTCCATTCATACAAGCATTTTTGTCTCCGGGAGACTACATAACAAAGAGGAAGCTTGCTCTCTGTGTTAATCTTGATTTAGCATCATATGTAATGTCAGTATAGAGACAGTTTTTGTTGGATATTGGTTAAATAAATCGAGAATTGAAAATCGATTAAAGTGATTTCGTATCGATTTCGGCCAAATACTCAAAAACTTGACTCAATCCGTTTAGGCAAAATTGTTTGCCACTTCGCCGCTTCGGGGCGCACAAACGGGGATCGACTTGCCCGGTCAGGTCGCGGGGGTCGTGGGGGCTCGGAGGCAACGCCCCCGAAAGAGAATTTTGATTTCTCTGCATGTATTGAAAGGTATATTTGGCATTTCGAAAACCAATATCGGATGAATGAGAAATTACGAAAAATGACGAAAATCAGGTCAAAATATTTGACCGTGCGACCGCATGGTTGGTAAACTGCGCGATCACACGTCAAATTCAATTCCGATTTTTTTTGAGTAAAACCGTGCGACCGCACGGTTGTCCGGTGAATAGACACCTTTTCATAAAGGTGCATTGTTTGGAAAGGGTGCATGATTTGGCTTCAACTATTTCGTTCACACCCTTTCATGGTCTATAAATAGGACCCTTTGGGTATCCTATTCCTCACAATTTGATATGCAAAACATCTCTCATCCTCTCTTCTATCCAAAATCAAAATCATTTCATTTATTTTGATTTTCCTTCATTTCATCCTTGGAGTACATAAGCCTAAATTTGGTTCGTTGTACTTGTGTTTTGGAGTGCTACAAACACAAGTGTAGCCGTTGTATCTTGGGAGTCGATTGTCGAAATCCGTAGGCACCGTTGCGGGGCAAATTGACTTAAGGACAAAGAGTCCAACTCTTGCCTCGACTTTGTCCCTACTTTCTTCTTCTTCTTATTTGTGTTTTTTTTGCCGTTACTCTGTCCAATTTTCGGCACGGATTTACAAACCATCATTATACTTATTTTGGCGTCACTATTCACAAAATTCCTCCAATAGTTTTAGTTTTCAATACAACACCTCACTCCTACGACTGACTGTAAAGAGAAGAAAAAAAAAAGGACAAAAATTAAAATATTCTGATAAAGAAAGAAGTCTTTAATCATTTTACTTGTGTGGTATTAATATTTTTTCTTTGGGCATGTTCTCTGCAAATTTGTAAATGGTATCTTTCTATTATTGCAGACATTTTCAAACATTTTATTTACATGTCCTTTGGTTCTTGATTTGCATTGGGCCCAAAAGTTTTTATTACCCTACTGGACGAACATATAATTAGGGTTCATCAGGAAAAAGAGAAGCAAGAGATGCAAAAGATTCAGGATAAGTTTGTTTGGACTTGTGCTCAGGCAGGAGTATCTTAGACATGATTTAAGCCTTGTGACCATCATTTGCTATCTTCTCCGTACCCATGTTTATCCTCGTTGTGGATAATCATTTGGCTATAGTCATATATTTTCATTCGAAACTTAATGCTACTACGGGATGGAAACTAAGCCCTTGTTTGATCTCCATTCTTTGGAGAAAAAGAATTCTTCAACAGTATTTTGACATAATTTCAACCACACATTTTTCAATAAAATAATATTACACGCAAATCAAAAACTTTTCTTTATTTTTTAACCACACATTTCACATCAATACACTATTCAAAAATTCATTTTTCCTATCAAAATGGGGGTCAAACAAGGGTTAAATGTGTTGATTATTTTTCCCTTCTGAAGTTTTCTTCCGGAGTAATGTGCTAAAGCTTATTTCTCAGAATTTGTTTTGCTTAGGTGTGGGAAGAGAAACATCCCAAACAAATGGACTCTATTGAGAAGGGCATTGTGCAACTCGTAACTCAGCATCGTATCAAGTGGCTTGTTATGGGAGCAATAGCTAATAAAAATTATTCAAGATATAATGCTATTAAATTTATTTATTTATTTATTTTTTATTTTTTTAAAGAACTTCATCATCTTGAGTAACAAATCAAGAACGTGCAATTTGCATTAATCCAACTGTAATAAAAATTATTTATATTCATTTTTCATGGCTATAATAAATATAATCAAAGCAGTTGTTCCTTGGTTATAGCAAAGCCAAAATGGCAAAACCAAATAATTATTTAGCCAATTAAATGATTTAAAACCAACTGAAATAGGCAGGTCGGAACTAATCTATGTAATACATGCTAAATGACAATGCAAGATATGGATTGCCCATGTTAACAATAGGGAAATAAATGGCTAAACAACTAGATTATTCAAATTTGATTAATATCTTTACCTCTAAAACAATAAGGCAAATAGTATTTAACTAATTGTTTGAAATATTGTTGATTTTGTTATTTTATAATATAAATATTTTGTATAATATATTTGTTTGTTGTTTTTAGGGTTTGACAAAACTCTCGAGTCGAGCGATTCTTCTTAAATTAAATATGGAACATGTATCTAAATCAAAGACCGACGGGTATGGTTCGATTCGGTTCTCAGTTCTAGACCTATAACCGAATAAGAATCAAATCTTCTTAATTTTAAAATTTTTTTATCTTAAATAAACCAAAATAATTTATTTTTTCTAAATAAATTTGCTAACTAATTAATTTAGTCCAAATCAAAAATATAATTTTTTTCTATTTCTAATTTCTAGCCAAAGTCCAACTTAATTAAATTGACTCGAATCTTATCTAAATCTATTATTTTATCGTAGTGTCGCTTCTACTGTTCTGCAGAAATTGAATTGGAAGCTCAAGTGTGCTTCTTTTCATTACTGTCAGCTCGCTATCTTCTTTTTCCTATGATTTTAACAATCAAATTTATGAAAAACTCAACAAAAAGAAGCACAAAAGATACACAAGATTGGACTACGTTATTTTGTAAGACCTAAAATTGAACATGTCATTAGTTGAATTAATGTAGCGTTATTGTAAATATTAAAAAATTTAATTATTGTACGAAAACTAAGAACTGAATGGAATCGACCTGAATGGTTCCATATTTAAATTTGGACCCGACGGGTCCAATTTCTAAATACACAAAAAATTCTAGTTCTGTTTCGGTTCAGTTCCATGTGCAGGCCTAGTTGTTTTACTATTAAACTTTAAATTAGCAACATGTTACATAATACACTGTTGAATTTTGCATTTATGTTTATTTTTTTGGGAGGAGGGGTAATAAATGGAGTTTGCCTTGGGCCTTGAAAATAACAAGACCGACCGTGCTTCTGCCTACTACTTGGTGCTTGTTCGTTATGTTTTTTCATCATTCTTTGTGAATCAGGGACACGAATGTAAATTAATTAATCTAGGTGAATTAATGATAAATGAAAGGGTGTTTTAGTTTATTTTATTTTGATTTCAAAATAAAAGTTCACTTCCCTAGGTATCATGATCAGAAATCTAATGAGCTACACATAAAAGGGAGAACTAAAAGAGTAAATGTAAATTAATTAATTAAAAATTGTGGGATATTTGTAGAATTAATTAATTAAATTATTTATTAATGGACTCAAGTTAATTAATGTCAATATGATCAATTAATAATTGGACCAGGTTATGATTAGTGGATGGCTCAAGCTCACTTAAACATCTATTAATAAGCAATTAGAGTTTGAGAAATATAACAACATATTTATAATCTTTCAAGCACAAGAAAGAAAAAACATATTCTTTTATTCTTGTTCTCCCATGTACCATTAGAGGTTGGACAATTGAACAGTTGTGATATGAAGAAGCTAGTTGCATATAGGGCTGTCGATTGATTGGATTTTGATCCGAATCCGATAAAATTAATGGGGATATGAATTTAGGGTATCAATTCAATAACCCGATCAAGATTCAAATCCGATAATTCATTGATTAAATGGATCAAATATGGATATAAGTTAATCCAATCTGATAGCACCCCAATCCAATTTGTTATAAATAGTTGAGTCGATTATATATTTTTATGGAGTTAAATGTTTCAAAAATCACTGAATTTATACCATGGTCACACTCTGCTCACTCAACTTTAATTTGCTTCACGGCGCTCACTGAACTTCCTCCATCACTCAAAAAAATCTGTTACTATTTTCGCTGACGTGTCGGTCAAAAAGCTGATGTGGCAAGTAACGCCCGTTACAATCAAGACAATCAGCTCTGGGCCTCTGGCCTTCAAATCAGCAAAAAATGCACCCCACGTGTATTTCCATACAATTCTTACCTTAATTATATAAAAAAGAAAAAAATAAAATTCAAAACCAAACCCGTCTGTTCATCTTCAACCCCCACACCCACCCACCCCCACCAAACCAAATCCATTCACCTAAAAAATGCAAAATCAAACCAATCCCTTTAAGCAACCATGATGGCCGAGTGCATCACCAGCGAATTCCAAATTTGTCAAAGTTATCTTCTTTTGGTTTCAATTTCTGAATGGAACGAATTACAGAAAAAAATATATCTGAAACTAAATATCTGAAATGAAAAAAAAAAAAGAAAAAGAAAAAAGAAAAGGTCTCCTTTTGTTGTTGAATCTGAAACGAAATATCTTCTCTGGTTGCTGTGTTGATGTTTTGAGGTGCGATATTTGGTTTGGTGAAGATGAACAAACTGGTTTCTTGCTATTATTATTATTATTATTATTATTTTTATAATCGTGAGATCTGGTCCAACTTATATGCACCTCGACTAATTTCACGGACTCGAAGTCTTGCTATTATTATTTCTAAACTCTGGCATTTGAATCTTTCAAGCTCTTTATTCTTAAGTAATATTGCAGAGGGCATAACAGCGGTGATGATGATATTGCAGTGGATTGGTGACAGCGACGGCGGTTGGTGGATGGATTTTGGTTTGGTGGTGGTGGTGGTGGTGAGGGGAGAAGATGAAGATGAACAGACGTGGTTTTGCATTTTTTTTTTATTAAGGCAAAAATTGTATGGAAATACACGTGGGTTGCATTTTTTGCTGATTTGGAGGCCAGAGCAGATTTGGCTTCATTGTAACAGGTGTTAGTTGCAATATCAGCTTTCCGTCAGCCGGAATAGTAATGGATTTTTTTGAGTGATGGACGGAGTGCAAACGGTGGAAGTTCAGCTAGCAATCCGTGATCATGGTATAAGTTCAATGATTTTTGAAACAATTAACTCTATTTTTATGGCATGTTATTTGTCACTAAAATAAACAAATGAGAAAATAAAGAAATTTAGAATAAAATTTATACCATGGTCACACTCTGCTCACTCAACTTTAATTTGCTTCACGGCGCTCACTGAACTTCCTCCATCACTCAAAAAAATCTGTTACTATTTTCGCTGACGTGTCGGTCAAAAAGCTGATGTGGCAAGTAACGCCCGTTACAATCAAGACAATCAGCTCTGGGCCTCTGGCCTTCAAATCAGCAAAAAATGCACCCCACGTGTATTTCCATACAATTCTTACCTTAATTATATAAAAAAGAAAAAAATAAAATTCAAAACCAAACCCGTCTGTTCATCTTCAACCCCCACACCCACCCACCCCCACCAAACCAAATCCATTCACCTAAAAAATGCAAAATCAAACCAATCCCTTTAAGCAACCATGATGGCCGAGTGCATCACCAGCGAATTCCAAATTTGTCAAAGTTATCTTCTTTTGGTTTCAATTTCTGAATGGAACGAATTACAGAAAAAAATATATCTGAAACTAAATATCTGAAATGAAAAAAAAAAAAGAAAAAGAAAAAAGAAAAGGTCTCCTTTTGTTGTTGAATCTGAAACGAAATATCTTCTCTGGTTGCTGTGTTGATGTTTTGAGGTGCGATATTTGGTTTGGTGAAGATGAACAAACTGGTTTCTTGCTATTATTATTATTATTATTATTATTTTTATAATCGTGAGATCTGGTCCAACTTATATGCACCTCGACTAATTTCACGGACTCGAAGTCTTGCTATTATTATTTCTAAACTCTGGCATTTGAATCTTTCAAGCTCTTTATTCTTAAGTAATATTGCAGAGGGCATAACAGCGGTGATGATGATATTGCAGTGGATTGGTGACAGCGACGGCGGTTGGTGGATGGATTTTGGTTTGGTGGTGGTGGTGGTGGTGAGGGGAGAAGATGAAGATGAACAGACGTGGTTTTGCATTTTTTTTTTATTAAGGCAAAAATTGTATGGAAATACACGTGGGTTGCATTTTTTGCTGATTTGGAGGCCAGAGCAGATTTGGCTTCATTGTAACAGGTGTTAGTTGCAATATCAGCTTTCCGTCAGCCGGAATAGTAATGGATTTTTTTGAGTGATGGACGGAGTGCAAACGGTGGAAGTTCAGCTAGCAATCCGTGATCATGGTATAAGTTCAATGATTTTTGAAACAATTAACTCTATTTTTATGGCATGTTATTTGTCACTAAAATAAACAAATGAGAAAATAAAGAAATTTAGAATAAAAAAAGTCATCAAATTCAAAAATAAAATAAGAAAGTCAATTAACGAGTACACAGTGCTCTAAATGGTAATGTGCGATGAGACGTGAAGGTTTCGGGCTAGATGAATCTAGACAAAGCCTAAGCATTAAAAAAAACGTAAAAAAGTATTTTTCTTATTTTACCATTATTTTAAATTTTTAATCAATTTAAAATTATTTAATAATACATACAATTTATAGTACCAAATGTAGTTTTAAGAATTTAACAAAATAAATATATTCCATAAACAAGATATAGCATAATAGTGCTAAATGAAATATTTTGAGAGTTTTAAATTTTTATTTATTAGTAAAAGATAGAAAAATGATTACTTTAATAAAATATATATTATTTATATAATAATACAACATATTAGAGTCAAATCAAATGTACAATACACTACAGTCAAACCAAAGATACAAAGCACTGTAGCCAAACTAAATGGATTCTTATTTCACATTGAAAGTTTGTAATAGAATGATTAGAGATGTGCTCTATAAATAATTGAGCTAGCAACTTTTTGTACCTTTCAATAAAATTGGCCCAAAAAAAAATAAAAATAAAATTGAAAATTTTAAATTATTAAACCCATTTAAAAGAATTGAAAAAATTGGGGGAAAAAAGTTAATTTCAACATTGATATATCCCCCAAACTTCTTTAATTTTGGATTGGATATCCGATAACAAAGCAAATCGAATATAAATTTAACAATCAAATATTCGTTGGATTATTGGATCAGATCAGATAATTATTCTTATTGGATTGGATCGAATATAGGCAGATCTAGTCCATATCCGATCCATTTACAGCTCTAATTGCATATCAAGATCAACAAAAGATTTGCAAAAAAATTTTTAAAGGTATAATTCTTATCAAATTTTTATATCTAAACACAAAGTTGATGTTTGGTGAGAATTGAATTTATTTTATATTCCGTTGTGTATGATTAAGTAAATTTTCAACTGTGATGGTATCAGAGCCTACATTGTGCTCGTTAGAAATTATTGTATATTGGAACAGTCAAAAGTTGATTGTTGTTTTTCTTGTTTCCAGTTTTAAGAAAAATTGATTTTCTTGTTCTAAAATCTGATTTGGAAAAGGAAAATTAGTTTTGGGTCGAAAAGGGATCTAGCGGCGATGGCTCTACGAGGTGGTAGAGCGCGGTAGTGCTCGCTGCCCCATGCGAGGCGATGTGGGCAATGTGTCGCTGCTGCTACACGCCACTACAGGGTATAGGTGAGCTTGCCACCCTTGCAAATAGCAGCGCTCGTCGTCATCGTTAATAGTAGAGTGCTCCGACGTTGATTTTGAAATAAGGGCATATTTGTAATTTTTGAAATTTGGGGGCTCTATTAATAATTTTTAAATGGGTCAGATTGCAATTTTTAAAAAGACTTTTGAATTTAAATATTAAAATGGTTTTAGATTTGATTTTCTAATTGGCTTTTGACCCTGATTTTGACTAGAAATTTCAATTTCGGCCCGAATTAAAATTTTATTTAAAACTTAAGAGTCTTTAGTTATCTTTAAAATTGGATTTTGACTTAAAATTGAATTTTATTTTTATTTGGGAGTTTTTCCTAAATAAAGTGTTGATTCAATTAATAGAGTTGGAATCGAATATTTTATTTAATTAAGATTTGATTTTAATTAAATAAACTTGCACTAAAGCTTTGAACATAGAGTTGGACTCCAATTTGATATTTAATTAAAATTTAATTTTAATTAAATTATCCCGTTCTAAAATTTTCTTGGAATCAGAGTTGAACTCTAACATGGATTTAATAAATATTGGATTTTAATTAAATTAACTATAAATTTAGAATTAGAACTCCGATTTGGTATTCAATTAAAATTTGATTTCAATTAAACAAACCCGTCCTAAGATCGTGGAAATAGAGTTAGACTCTAATTCAATATTTAATTAAAATTTGATTTTAGTAAATATATCCGCTAATTAAATGAATTTAGTAATTTGATTAATTAATTATTTAATTATTCTAATCCTTCTGTCTAAATTAGTTTAGATGACGTTAAATACTATAAACTTGAAATAAGTTTGCATATAATATTATATATTTTATAAGAATGTAATCATGTGATGAATGAGTATATTGGATTTATAATGTCCGTAGGAGTGTATGCTGTTTTTGTTGAGATATAATTTTTCAATATGAATTTTCCTACTATTAAGCTGGTTGCTTGATGATCTTCCAAAATGATGTTATTTGAGCATATATGATCATTTTTAGCCCATGTTTGGCCCTTTTCTCATTCTTTTTTTTTCTTTTTTATTTTCAATTACATAATCTTCCATAAAATAATATTACATATAAATCGAAAAAATTTCTTTCTTTTTCAACCATACATTCTCTAGAAAAAATATTCCAAACATCAAAAATAGAAAAAAGGGGGGCCAAACGGATTGTTAATATACCTTACTCAAAATATATATGTTCCACCAAGTCTTAAAGCTCTAAAAGTCTATTTACACTTATCATCATTACATTTCAACATATATTCTTTCTTGTCCGACTTACTTATCTTGAATTGAAAGTTATTGTGTATTGCGTATATCAAAATGCTTCACTTAACCAATGTCTTGTTCCTAAAGACTTTATCTTTTGAAATTCCATCCATATTGACTACTGAAATGATATCACTTCCTCCTTCATTCGTTGTTCTTTCAACTACCGATATACTATTATATACATCAACAATAATTTCTTCCATACTAGGTAATCTCTGACTGATGTCACAGAGTTATCAGTTACAACTTCACAAACTACAGTTGTAGCATATCATTTTTTTCGAAATCAGTAGCCTCCAAACATTGTATATTATTAACAAATTCAACTTCATGATTTTTTGATACGTTATCACGTCTACGCACAATGGAAAGCTTGAAAGATCTATATCCTCACTTTTGAGCTCCAAATAAAATGTTAGAGAAATATTATATGAAATCTCCATCAAATGTAGGTTTTTCTTCGCTCTATATTGTGTTGATGTACTTGGTATCATCACTGAAAATATCATGCAAGGTGGTTGTACGTGCAATTTATCAGGAAAACAAATCCGGTCATTTTGTCACTTGCATATTTATTATCTTGTGTTTATTTGCCTCCATAACAAATGAAGACATTAATTTTATTTATGCCTACAAAATTAATACAACGAAGTTATGTGAGAGTTTTTTTTTTTTTTTTTTTAAATTAACGAAGTAATATGCATCACATCTAGTTAATTATTCCAATAAGTTACTATAACTTTTTCTAAGAAAAGTGAGGGACCGAATCCAAGTTCTCCTAGAGCAAACACCTTGCATCCATCAATGTAATTGATTCAAGTTTTCTTTTCATATATATTAACATAAAACAGGGATTGAATTTGTATGTTCAAATTTCTATAAACGCACACGTATGCATATAGATAGTTAATTGATCCAATAAGTTACTATGACTTTTTTTAAGAAAGTGAAAGAGTGTCACTTTTTCATAGAAAAGTGACGAAATTCACATTCTTCTGGAGGAAATACCTTGCATACATCAATGTAATTGATTCAAAGTTTTCTTTTTCATATGTACTAACATAAAACATGGCTTCAATAGGTATGTTCAATTTTCTAAAAACGTACACGTATACATCTAATTAATTAATCCAATGAGATATTGTGGCTCTTTTTCAGAAAGTGACAGAATTCCACTTTTTCATAGAAAAGATTTTCTTTGAGGAGACACCTTGCATACATTAATACAATTGTTTCAAAGTTTTCTTTTTCATACGTATTAAACAATGCTTGAATTGGTATGTTCAAATTTTCAAAAATGCATGCATATGCATCTAATAATTGCTCAGATAAGAGTGACAAAATTCGCATTATCCTTTTATCAAACACCTTGCATGCATCAACAATTTAACTGATTCAAAGCTAATTTTTTTTGATGTATACTAACACAATCTACTTCCTCTTAATTTCAACAATGTTATTTTCAAACATGTTTCCAATCACAATAGCAAAATCATCAAAAAGAAACTTTATAAATGTCAATTATTTACATTATAAGGTTTAAACTAAACCTAATTACAAAATTCAAATGAAAGTGAGATAGGCAATGAACTATAATTATTAGAATTTGTGAGGGATTATTTAGCTGAAAATTGATAATTATAGTTGTTACTTTCATAATCTATGGAAAGAGAATATTAAACAATTTTAAAATAACAAAATTGGGGAACTAATTAAACAAGGAGTCAAAAGCATAAAAAATAATAATAAATAAATAAATAAACCCTGTAATTTTGTTCAAAAGAAATAGCCTTCAATGTTGAAGTGGCCTTGATATTTTTCAAAACCTGACTATTGAACGAATTTGTGAAAGATTTCCTCTTAGTTAAAAACCTCTTCTATTAGGATCTGCCCCATAATCTAGGAAAAGAAGAACACATTCTAATCTTCCTTTTGATGCTGGATCATATAACAAGAAGCTACCATTACACCTCTAGTTTATATTCATCAGATCATGCAGAAAAACAGCCAAGGCTGTTGATATCTTGAATCTTATGTCATCCATATTTCTAATTGCATTATGCCAAGCAATTGATTTGAGGCACTTGGAGGAGAAATTTGAGAGATGTTAAGAATACTGGTAACCAAGCTGACAAGAAAAACAGTGCATGTTAACGAGGAGCTTCATCCAGCAAGATTCTGTGACGAGAATTTGCTTCATTTGGTTGATCACGAATATGTTTTTAAAGGTTGAACCCCAATCTTGAGGGCTCTCATTGTTCCATCCCGCCCCGTTCCTAAAGTATTGTGAGACCACTGGATTATGCACCGAGGTATATTAATGATCACCTTATTGAGCATGCTTTGGAAAATGGTGAAACTGA